GTTGTTATGTATTGTGGAGTCGGTTCTGACTCATAGTGACCCTGTACAGGGTTTCCAAGGCTGTAAATCTTTACGGGAGCAGAAAGCCTCCTCTTTCTCATGCGGAATGGCTGGTAGTTTTGGACTGCCAACCTTGAGGTTAGCAGCCAGATTCGTAACCACTACACTACCAGAGCTCTCTCTTTCTCTCTCTCTCTCTACATATATATATACATATATACTAAGTTTTTATTGTGAATTATGTGATAGTTTACATGGGAGAACATTAGCTTTACATTCATCCTATCGTATTTTATTTTATTGGCAATGATTACAATCCCCTCCATGCATCACCAAATAACCAAAGGGTATACTCCGCAAGCCTGCCCATGGTCATCAGCACACAGCGCCTCTCCCTCCCTGGGTCTAGAGTTCCCAACCGCTCCATCTCTACATGTCATCGTCTTTGCCTCCCTCTCTGGCATCACTGCTTCTCTGGGTAGGGTCCCCCACTCTGCTTTTCTCCCTTGATGGTCCCAGGGACCTCCGCTTCTGGAGTGCAAAATCAACCACTCCCCTCCTTTTGTTACAAAATGTCTACCTTTATATTTCTAACACTCACAGTCAGTCCTGATAGCAATTATTCACTATTTTACCACAAGAATCATATCCCCATCTCCTTTCATAAGCCCCATCCAGACAGATTGGAAACCACTCAGTGGAGATTATTCCTCCTCCCACACCCTCTGGAACTAGGATCCCTCTTGAAAGCTTATAAGTGAGTCACTTATTGCCTTGGTAGCCCCACCACCACCACCATTTTGGGTAGCCAACAAATGATCCTCGCTGTAAAGATTTGTTTCCTCTTTTGAGCTACTACATCCATAAGTATAGATCAAGTTCATCAAATTGTAGCAGATTACTCTTTTTTTCCTCTCCTTTCTTCTTCTAGTCGAGTTCTGATCATCCAGGTCAAGTGGATACTATCTGCAAGTATGGGTGTTCTTGTGCATCTCCTCTCACTTCATATCAGCTGGACACTTCACTCTTCACTCTAGTCCTCTGTGGCCAAGTCACTGTCTCTGGGTCCTGGAGTCCCCAGGTCTTGCCATACTGCTGGCCAACCAGGTCTCAGCTCAGGTTCACAGGAGCCTTGAACGTGTTTGGACTTAGCTCACAACTTCATTGCTGTTTTCTCCCACTTCCCCTTATTGGTGACCAACGTGGTCACCAGTCAGACCACATACCTGCTCACGAATTCCCCTTAGAAGGGGGGTTTCCCTGAGGGGACCCAACCACTTGCCTTGATGGCTCCTGGGCGAACAACTTGCTTGTTCTTGTAGTAATCAGTCATACTGCTTGCTGTTGTCAGGTTCCGTCGAGTAGGAACCAACTCATAGCGACCCCATGCACAGCAGAATGAAATAAAGTCCGATCCTGGGCCAACCTCACTACCGCTGCCACACTTGAGTCAATCAATGATGCCACCTGGCCAATCCATCTCGTTAGGGGGCTTTCTCTTTTTCTCTGACCCTCCACCTTACCCAGCATGACATCCTTCTCCAGCAACTGTTCCCTCCAGACAACA